AGGAGAAGGATAGGACAAGCAACACAACACACCTCGCAACACAACACAGCTTGCTATTTGTGGCAGTCCACTCTTCTCTCAGTGCTGGTTTTGTTGCATCGGTAGTTTATCTGAAGATAATATTTATTTTGGATTCAATCCGAAGACCCCTTAAAACACCAATCATTCGTGGAGTAATATTCATTTTAATGGCATTCATGGTATCCCATGAACTTAGTGGGGTTTACATTTGCCAATTAATATCCAAAATGGGTTTTTCTAAATATATTATCATACATACTTGAGGATAAGAAGAAAATTTTAGGTGCTAAAATACACCAGAAAAAAATTGGGTTCCGCTAATCTTATGAAAATTGGGTGACCTGCAGATAAGCCAATTATGAAAATTAAAACAGGAAAAAATTTAAGGTCATCCTATCTGAGGGTGTTGTATTTTAAACTGGTTAAAAAGTTTAAATGGCTGGATGGACTTTTATGTAGCTATCTATGGTAACATGTCCATATATTTATAATATTTTTAGGAATATAAAGTCCTAAATGCTTAATGTAATGTAATGTAAATGACAAAAGCCAACTCTGTACAGCTTTTAAAGGCTAATGGAATAGCTTTATCTTCATTCAAGATCTACTAGTACTGATCCCAGTGGAGTTTCTAAAAGGGCTGCAGTATTTTTGCCTCCATTAGCAACAAAAGTTGGGAAATGTTTTGTGGATTTATTTGATGCACATCCACCCTTGCTCCTTACTGGAATTTATCCATGGTGTCACTTCTGTTTTTGGCTCCCTCTTGTACCTAGCACCTGCTGCCTTGAACAACTTTTGAGTGTCAGGAACGTTGGCTTATCTACAGTTGCCTTCCCATTGGGAGACAGTTGCAAGAGGCACCCATCCAGGCCATCCATCCTGCCTGCCTGCCTTGAAGGAAAGGCTCCATGATTATCTGCTTAGATAGGCATCCTGGCATTGAAAGGACAAGGTTAAATAAGTGTGTATTACAGAGGACAAGTGGGCATCCTTGAGGTCACCAAGTTTATTTTCTCTTGGTCTCTCTAGGTTAAAAGGTTTATTAGATCGTGAAAAAGAGGAACTGGCAGAAGCAGAAGTCATTAAAGATTCACCCGATTCCCCGGAGCCCCCCAACAAGAAGCCCCTTGTTTCAATGGACGATTTGCCAGGGCCAGAGAAAAATAAAGGTACGGTCCAAATCATTTCAAGCTATCCAAAAAAAGTGAACCGGTGGCTGATGGAGGACGTATTTTTATGTATAGCGAAAACGTGCGCTTAAGGGGAATGCTGCCTGGGTGGAACAGAATGATTGTACAGACTGCACTTAAACTTTTATGAAGAAAAGAGATTCATTGTCAGCGTTCCCACTAACCAACGCCAACCCAATAATGTCCGAGGCAAACAATTCCTCAAAGTTCCATTTTATTAGAGTTGTCCTATTGGCACATCTGGGAAAACCCGAATCTGAGAGTTCCAGGTTTTCCCATTCCAAAAGAGAAATGAAAGAGCCATCCCCCGCACCCATCAGTTCATCACATGGCCCAATCAAATCCTCGAACCAACTGGAGACATCTCCCCCCAGTCACTCCCCTCCAGGTGCAGGGCAACATGTCCTGGACTCTCTGAGAAAGGATGTTGTTGTGTCCAATATTCTACCCACTGTGAAATCCCCCCTCCCAAATTCCCAGGCATTTAATGTGGCAGCCTCAAAGCTTCCAAGTAAAAAAAAAAAAAGGCTTCCAAAGCTGACGTGCACATTCATCCCACCTATTTAGATTCTGCCTGACTTTATGGAGTGGCCTTATTCCACAAAAGTAAGGAGAATTAAAACCAGAAGGATAGGCTTCTTGAGTGTCAGTTCATCACTCCAGGGCATTAATCACATTAATTTCAACAAAGAATAAGCCAGCACAAAGGTTGCATCATAGATTGGACAGATTATAAAAAATTCTGCACCTGGAGCGCCAAGAGTGCAAATATGTGACAGCAGGGGTGGGCTTCTGGGGGCTCAATAACCAATAACCTCAGAAAGACAAGCAGCAAGGGAAAGTTCTTAATAGGCTTAATTGAACTTCTGGGCATTCAGCCAAGAGCATTTCACACCTGGTAAAACTGTTGCAAGCTAGATAAACAATTCAGTGTTTGGGAGGGAGAGCCATTAAGTACATCAGATAACATAGCCACTAGCCTCCAAGGAGGTTAATTCCCAAATAATAAGAATCACATAACTCACCAGGAACTCCACTAAGACCCCAAGATCCCTCTCACAGTCACTGTGGGTAAGCCTGGTTTCACCCAGGCTTTCATTTAAGTATTAAATGCACGAAATAATAAACAACTTTGGGGTATATATCCTTTTTTAAGTAATTAGGGCAAAGAAGCGACGTCAAGTTGGCCACACCTACCCAGTCACATGACCTCATAGCCACGCCCACCAAATCACATGACCACCCAGCCACACTCACCCAGCCAGACATTAGGGCAGAGAGCCCCTTGCTAAATATTTGAAGCCCATCCCTGTGTGACAGGTTGCCTTGCGAAGAAGTAACTCATGAACCTTGGGCAAATGTTTTTGCAAATCATTACTGTTGCACAGCAAGCAAGTAGACTCATTAGATTTGTCTCTTTTATGATGCCAGAAAGAATTAGGAGATAGTTCTTCTGCCTTGGATTTTCCTTGGTGTGAAAATCACAAGTAACATGAATTCTGGTTGTCGTTTTTTTTAATAAATTGGAGGTGCGATTGTAGATTTTACTGCAAAAAGGAAAGCCAATAATATGAACACAGGAAAGAGCATTGTTCTTCCGGAGCGCAAGTAGAAAAAATAAGATTTAAGAATGCAAATTAATGAGGGCACTTAGATTTTCTTCATAGATTTTTTTTCTTTTTAGGGCCAATATCCCTTCTGTCTCTTTGGAGCAACAGGATTAATGCTGCAAATTCTAGGAAACATCAAGAATTTATTGGCCGCTTAGGTTCTGTCAACAATAAAGCCGAACTGTACCAACATCTTAAAGAGGAGAACGGGTTTGTATCTCCACATAGGTTGCTACAGGATGTGGGGTTATTTCTGGTTAATAATGTACCTGAACATTTTGCCCCTCGATACATTAAAGTGTAATGTTAATAAGTAATATAAAAGGTAATTGAGCTGCCCTTCTCTTTGTTCAAAATGATGGCATTAAAACATTCTGTTAGTGATACTCTGTGGGGGGGGGGTGGAGCTCTTATCTCACAATTAGGAGGCTGTGAGCTCAGTTCTAGGTCGAGTCACATGTTCTTCTCTCTGGGCACACTGAGAAAAAACTCCGCATTGGTGACAAGAAGGGCATCCGGCCATTAAAACACTCTGCTATCTCCATTCAGTTGCCCAGACTCCACCCTGCAAGGGATTATGGAATCATTAAAAGAGGATTTTATGTATGTGTGTGTGTGTGTGTATATATATAACTTCAAAGATTTAATTCTTGTAAATATTGTCTTGCAAAGAAAAGGTTTATATGGACATTGGTTGATTGATAAAAAGCAGTATGTTAAGAATATCCTTAATTTCCTAAACTCAACAGAAAGCCCCAAGCTGAATTCCTCAACTTAAATGGTAATTAAAATGGAAGAATTGGAGATTTATATTAAACTGAAGTTTATAATAGCTGGCTGGCCTTGAAGAATACAGAACAATCAGCCTTGTTTCCCATACAGGTTAATTGTGATGGGTATTTACTGAACGCTTATTTTGATCCTGTGCTGTGGATTGATGAAATAAACTTTCATCCCCCAAAATTCAGTTGATTCTAAAGCAAGGTAAAATAAGTTGATCTTCAGTAAGAGTTGCAAATTCAAGGGAAACTGAATTAAATAATTGTTGCAAATCGGCTAAAATGGAACAACGATCTTTGCTGTGTTTTTCTTCTACCCTGCTCTCTACACGTAATTTTTAAGATTGTATCTCTTTTTAGGTTTAAAAGCGACACTATCAATGTGACTCTCGGCCTCATTGTCCGATTTTTAGATAAAAGACAAAGATACTCATTAACCGTATAATTTTGATTTGTTTTAGAATGGAAACTGCAGAAAATGGGAAACCCAGCCGGCAGTGAATTCTGGGATATAGAATCCTATTTGTTCGCGACCTGTAAACTTTTAATGCCTGATTTGATATCTCTATCAAACTGTACAGTTCTGTTAACTTTAATTGCTTTTTACATTTTTGTAATAATTTTAGCGCTTTTGTATGAAAATGCAAAATAAATATACTATTTGTTCCAAATCTCATTGGACTCTTTAAGAGCAAGGAGAATTTCAATTTAGGTCTTTATGACTGCATTAAAAAAATGACATTTCTGTTTTGTTTTTTGTTTTTAAAGAAAAAGCAATAATGCCTACTATTTGAGTTTTGCTTTATAAATTATATCGCTATACTTGAAAAAGTCCAGGCTTTTAAGTGAAATTCTGTTAACTCCATCCATGCTGGCTGGTGAATTCTGGGAGTTGAAGTCCACACCTCGTAACATTGCTAAGATTGATAAAGGCTCCTTTTAGACCGTAATTCCATAGAAAACCACTTTTATGAAAGACCCACTTTGGATGAACTAGCTAGTTCTTGTCTTGCAATGTGGGAAGCAAGATCTTCCTGCTCATTTAAGATGGGGCTAAGGGGAGAGGGTTATCTCTGCCTCTTATTCTTAGAAGTACAACTTAAGTTTTCTTTTGTCCCAGTCGGCCATGCCCAGTAAGTGGCATCAAGCTGGCAATTTCCACCCAGTTGGCCGCATCCACCCACCCAGTCAGCCACAGCCCCCCCCCCCCCCGAGGTCAATCACAGCCCCAATACGACCCTCAGTGAAATCAAGTTTGACACCCCTGGGCTAGAAGATACAAAAAGAAGAAATGAATTACAGATTTCAGGTAGATTTTTACATAAACTCGCTTTGGATCAGGAGATTAGAGCAGCACATAAATTTAATAAATAAATGAGAATAGACTTGCATTGGAATGAGCGAGTAGGGTCATCCAGGATCCTTCCTTTCATACAATGGCGGAAGTCTATACTTCGGAGGAGATGGAAGCTTTGAGATAACCAGACCTCGATGTGGTCTGAAGGAACGCTGTTGACAAACCATTGACATGGGTATCGGTAACCGAGTTGATGGCAGAACATCCTGTTCCAGTAGAGGAGATTTGCGAGAAGTCAGTGTGCCCATCTTGAAGTTGATGTGGCCACAGGAAGGTGAACACTCTGGTTGAAATGTTTTCTTGCGATACTTCTGACGATAGACAATGATCAGGAAGGCTAGAATTGTGCAACATACAGCAACTAACAAGGCCATGAGCGCGTTTGTTATCCAACAGTTGCCGCCGTCAAATCCAGTGACAGTCCTGTTGAACGCTACAGAGTCGTTTGTTGGGTTTGTCGCAGATAAGCACATCCCACCGTATCCCACCTCTCCAATTTGTTCAATTTTGAATTCTGGCAACATGGCGTCTGCAAAATCTGGATGGACGTCTTCCTCAGGTCTTCCTAGTTTGGTGAGCACATCCTGGATGTCATCTCGTGCACATTTCTCAGCCTTTGGGCAAAACGATTTGTTGTACCATGTGAACACGGCGGAGCCAGTTTTGAGATGGAGCAGAACCACATGCCCAGGAGACTCCACCAACAAATAATCGGAAAGTTTCTTTAAAAATAAGTAAATCCTCTTTCTGTTTTTCAGGAACGAGTGGTAGCTATCTTTTGCGATTACCGTATAAACGTGGCATGGAATAATAGTTGGTTTGAATATTTCTACGACAAATTTATCTTCGGTCTTTAGTCCTCCTGAATCTATGGCAAAAAGTAAAAACTCCTGTGGGGAATACTGGAAATCTGCATCCAGCGGATAACCATACATCCTTCTATCCCTGGCATTAAATTGTAACCAGCTGTCCAGATCTGTCGGGGAGCCGTCGATGGGGTTCATTCCAAGGGTCAGTTGAGTTGAATTCCCATCTTCTTGGTCATGAAATGTCTCTGGCGGTATTGAAAATGAGAACTCGTGTCCAACTGTTGCTGCGATCCACTTAATGGCATGAATGACCCTGGGAGGAGTGTTTGGCTGACCTGAACAAAAATTAGTTTAGTTTACTTTATTGTCATTGCACCTCGCACAATGAAATTAAATGCCGTTTTCAGTGTACATTATACATTAAAAAATAAAACACAAACACACCTCTTTCACATTCTATGCAATTGAATTGAAAACCCCTGATATTGCATTAACATTTCACAGTACAGTACAGCAGAATTCAAAAGAGCTGCCCTGGGATAGAAGCTGTTTTTCAGCCTATTTGTCCTTGTTTTTATTATCCTATACCATCTGCCAGATGGTAATAGTTCAAAAAAAGGGTTCCCAGGATGAGATGGATCTTTGAGAATGTTTTGAACTTTCTTAAGGCAGCGGGAGCTCTAAAGCTCTTCCAAAGAGGGGAGATGGCAACCCATGATCCTCTGGGCAATGACGTTAACCCTCTGGAGTGCTGTCCTATCTGCCCCTGTGCAATTGGCAAACCATACAGAGGTGCAGTAAATTAAGATATTCTCTATGGTGCAAAATCATAGAAGAGAAATGTAAAGAATCAAGTCTACTGAGATTCTCAGCCATCCAGGCCATGGTTGTCCCAAAGGTGCTTTTTTCAAGAGGCAACTGGTTTCCAGTTTTTCTTTGAAGATGTTTCGCTTCTTATCCAAGAAGCTTCTTCAGCTCTGGAAGCTGAAGAGTCCAGAAAACCAGAAAGTCCAGTTGCCTCTTGAAAAAGCACCTTTGGGAGAAGCAACCTATCCAATGATGAAGAAGGCACCTTGTGTCAACCTGCCCCAAGTTGACTTGGCTAGAAAAAGAGGGACCACGGTTTTGACATCGCAAACTCCTTATTTCCAAGCTATTGATCGGACTTTAAGAGTTCAAACGTGCTTTCTAAATAGTTTCGTATTGCAATGGTACCTCGGTACTCATTACTTAGTTCCTGGAGGCACCACATGTACTGAAAATGAATACAGGTAGTCCTTGATTTACAACAGTTTGTTTAATGAGCGTTTGAAGTTACAGCAGTGCTTATGACCATTTTTCACACTTGGGACTGTTGTAACATCCCTGTGATCACTTGATTTACATTCGGACAATGGACTCACTTTTATGACGGTCACAGCCTCTTGGAGTCACGCGATTCCCCCTTTTTATGACTTCCTGATGAACAAAATGGGAAAGCCAGATTCACTTAGCCATGTGACCAATTCAACAACTGCAGCAGCTCACTTAACAAGATTGTAAAGCGGTGTGCCTTGCTCAACAACATAAATTTTGGGTTCAATTGTGTTCAATCAAGGACTACCTGAAGTAATTAACACCATGACTTACCTTGTGTCTTCTGGCACGTAGTAGTGGCATGAACTCCATTCTCTGTGGATATCCCTTTGCGGCTGAAAACATTGGCCGGTTCTTTCAATGTTGAGACTACAATATCCCTTGTAATCTGGATGTTTGTTTTGGTTCCAAATGAGCTTTCCAAACTTAAACCATTTGTTTCCAGTTGTAAAGTATCGGGATTTAACACGGGTGTCCAAACTAAATTGTGGATAGAGTCAAACAGATATGTAGAAAAACGAAAACTGGAGGTGTGAATAAGTTCTACAGGGGGAGTAATCCATGAAGATCCACAAGGAAGCAACTCCAATGCCTGAGTCTTTCTATGAGACCTCTCTCCTTGACTAAGGAATTCACTGCTTAAGATAACAGCACTGGATGTTGTGCTAGAAAACAGAGTTGTTCCTTTTATCCATAGAGAAGTGTCCATTTCAGTTTTCATAAATACTAAGACACTGCTTCCTGTCGTAACAAATCTGTAGGTTAATGGAATAGTTGTAAAAGATTCACAGGCATTCATTCCATCTGAGCTAACCTGTCTTCTGTTGGGCAATTTTTCCATCGGGAATATATTACTAGATTCAAATAATAATGTCAATTCCACTGGAACTGATGAGAAAGAAGGAAAAATTACAGGGTTGCTAATGGTTTTAGACAGGAAGCTAAACGTTAGTAGAGAGATACTGGAGAACAAAGTGCTATTATCTAATGTATCCGTGGAATGTTTTGATGAAATTGGACCATTACTACAGTAATATAATCGAGTTGGTGAGCATGCATTGGATGGAGAACCTGGTTTGGGGTCAAAATCACCATTTGTACTGATAGCATCAAATATTGATGGGATGTTGGTCAAAATGGAGCTTTTGATCCATTTGGAAATGTCTGTCTCTTTCATTGATGCTATAGTCATAAAAGTATCTGAGGCAGAACTGTCAACATTAAGTAATTTTAGATTCTGATAGCTGTCATTTAAGAAGAGCAGAGATATTGCAACACTAGAAAACGACAGTTCAGAAGATAATAATGATGTCCTTAAATATGCTAACGTCACCATGGAAGGCAGAGAAAGTTCGATTATAGAAATGATCTCTATGGATTTAAATCCAGACGCCGTTCGATGCACAAATGGGCTATGCTCATTTAGATTCCTTAATTCTCCTGAGAAAAGTCGTGGAGATGATGATGAGGTAGAAGACATTTCTTCTGGTAAAATGTCCCTTGGGTGGTGAACAGAGTTTGAGAAATGATTTTTGGTAAAAGGCATAAACAAATTCAAATAATATAATGTGGAACTATCCCTTGGCTCAGATTTTTGAGTTGTGGGGAAATCCTCTTGTGTTGAAGTATCTAGCGAGGCTTCATACAGTAGGTGCTCCGATATTGGTGGGGTTTGAAAAGCCCCTTTCCCCTCAAATTCTGTGGAGCTTAGCATCAGGGAAGGCGAAAGTTCAGAAGAGAGGTAGTGAAACATGGTAGATTTGGAGATCTCAGTGGTCTCCAAATCCATATGGATCATCCCAGGTCGTGTACTGAAGTCCACGTAAGAATGGATAAGAGAGAAAGTGCCTTTATTGATATACAATGAACTCATTTCAGACTTTACAACTGAATGTGTCTCTGGCACAGCAGCTACCAAAACTGTGAGGTTCTGAGTTTGGGTTGGCCTCCAGGTAGGCTTTGGGGTGGCCATTTTCCTCTTCTGCCACTTGTTGGGATTTCTTTTTTCATATCCTTGTTTAAGGACTCGCCAGCCAACAATTTCATAACCTAGGAGCTGGGAGAGATTGTCTGACTCGACGTTGTGGCTCAGGACTCGTATCAAGTCAGGCAGCATAGCAAACACCCCAAACCCAACTGGCCAACAGAGTCCTATGCGATGGCCTTTTGTAGAGTTGATGTATCTGATATCTTCAGCCAATATGGTTAGGTTCTGGAAATATTTATTTAGGGAGTCTTCGACTGGAATAAGCGTGAGTGAGGAAGGATCCAAGTGGAGATATTCTGCCATGGTGCAAATCAGATTGAGTTGTTCTTTAATTTCCAGAGTATCTTCCCTTTGAAGTACGATCTCAGCAAAAGTGATGGAAACGTGTTTGGCATGCCAACCTCCGGAACAAATACTGAAAGCCCCAAAACAAATACGGTTAAAAGACTGACATCTTTTAAAACAGAATTATAATTGAACGTTTTCCAGAGCTACTCAACATTACATATATTGACTCTAAGTATTGATGTTTATGATTGCAATCATAAAGTCAGTATATTTTTCTCACAAACGTAATGATGAAAAAGTTTCTAAGATATTGTTTTAAAAATGGCTCTTAGGTCAGGTTAGAAAAGAACTATTGGGCTTGCTTGAAAATTGTACGAAAACATTTCTTTTAAAGTGGACAGTACATAACTATTGTGGGGTATGTACCTTTTATTTGATAATTTATTCTTCACCATTTTTAGCTTCTGCTTATTTAATTGGCCTGCTTTTTTAAAAAAAATATTGGTTGTAGTCCACCAAGAAATCTAGATCTTATAGATTTGCACACAATTGATGGGACACTCGTGGCAGGATACAAAATCCCCACAAAGCATAGAAAGATACACAAGAACTTCTCAAAGTTCTTATGAAGAGAAGATATTTTCAGAAGCTAAAATCCAGAAAGTAATCCAATTAAGGTTTTTATGCTATTAATGGATTGTGTTTGGATCTATTTAAGACACTGTGAACAAAAGAATAGGAAAAATTCTGTTAATTTCTAGTTCACCCTGTCCATCGAGAAAAGAACGAGGTGGCCATGTGAAAAACTTCAGTGAGCAGTAGGATCATTTGAGATTGAACGCAACTCAATTCCATCAGTGGGTCTCTACTGAAATGGATGGACCAAACCCTGATTGTCTTCTACAGTTTTAAGTCAATGTCTGTAGAGATTATCCATCATCCAGGTCATGGTTGTCCCCAAGGTGCTTTTTCAGGAGGCAACTGGACTTTCTTGTTTTTTCTTTGAAAACATTTTGCTCCTCATCCAAGAAGCTTCTTCAGCTCTGAGAAGAAGAAGAGCTGAAGAAACTTCTTGAATGAGAAGCAAAACATCTTCAAAGAAAAAACAAGAAAGTCTTGAATAAGCCCCTTTGGGGCAACCATGACCTGGATGACTGAGAACCTCTACAGACTTTTAGCTAGAAAATTTGAGATGAACACCCTTTGAATGGTGTGGGAGTAGGAATGGATTTCCAGAGGAAAAAAATTGCAGACTACAGGAACCATTAGCACCACTTAGCTGACCCTGAGGACACACATAAGCCTCCAAGTGGCCTCAACAACCCTCTAAAAGGACGCAGATGACCAGCTGTCTACAAGGAGTATCAATTCTTCCATTCCCCACCATCCAGTCAGAGCTGAAGAAGCTTCTTGGATGAGAAGCAAAACGTCTTCAAAAGAAAAACCAAGGAAGTTCACTTGCTTTTTGAAAAAGCACTTTTTAAATCAGTGTTGTAGGTATTTGCAAACAGACCCATATCAAGATGATCAAAGCCTATCATCCCTATGTGTCAGTGCAACTTACATGTTCTTTGCATGGATGCAAATGTGATCTTCACCATGGAGTGTAACATTTGCAGTTGGAATTTCACACGCCTCGTTGTGGGCAACCACTGTCAGATGAAATTCTTCGTTCTTCTTCTCCGTCAACTGCATTCTTTCATGCATATTTGTGGAAAAACTATATTCTAACCATTTTGACAAAGTTGAATCCTTAGCCAGAGTGATCTAAACAATAATCACATGCATCATATCAGGGGCAGGAAGGCTTTCATTCAAAACCATGCCATCAGATACATAAACTGGAAATTGGACAGCATGCCCTCCAAGGGAATGGTGATAAAAAAAGGTGTTAGATATCAGAGGTGGGATTCAGCCAGTTCTGACCCGTTCTGGAGAACTGGTAGTGGAGATTTTGAATAGTTTTGAGAACCAGAACATCCCACCTCTGACTGGCCCCACCAACCCCATCTCTTCTCTGCCTCCTGAGTCCCATCTGATTGGCTGGGTCTCCTTTGGTTGCCCTGCACAGGAGAACGGAGCAGGAAAGCAGGCTAGTGGGGTGGGGAGGGAATGGGGATTTTGCAGTATCCTTCCTCTGCCACGCCCACCAAGTCATGCCCACAGAACTGATAGTAAAAAAAAAAAATGAGGTTAGATTGTGTGGAGATGGACAGGCTAGACGCTGAGCTTGTTGATCAGAAAAGGTCGGCAGATCAGCGGTTCAAATCCCTAGCGCTGTGTAACGGAGGGAGCTCCCGTTCCTTGTCACAGCTACTTCAAAAACACGTAAAAAATGCAAGTAGAAAAATAGGGACCCCTTTGGTAGGAAGATCACAGCGTTCCGTGCACCTTTGAAAGCATTTAGTCCTGCCAGCCACATGACCATGGAGATGTCTTCGGACAGCGCTGGCTCTTCAGCTTTGTAACAGAGATGAGCAATGCCCCCTAGAACCGGAAACAACTAGCAGGTATGTGCAAAGGGAACCTTTACCTTTACCTTATTTTCAAACATTGAGGACTATTATTACATTATTACGCAAAATTTTTAAAAAGTTGAGGCTGTGTATATTATTCACCTTTTATTACTCTGCTAAAAAGAGTCAGAAGTCAATGCTTTACTTTTTCTATTCCTTTTTACTCTACACTTTTTCCTCTTTTCCTCTTCTCCCCCATTTTCCCATTATTTTATATATATGTTATCGTTTGCTAAACCAACACAGATTTGGACAGGAAATTCTGGCTTTAGTTGTGGTGGTACATCAGGGGGAGCACCTGCAGTTCATACTCATGTAGCGACCTTCGAAGTTAGCAAATTTGATGATTCCAATCCCAGTTCTAGCCCAACAACATATCACCCCAACTGGTATATTTTCTCTCCCGGAAAGATCAACTGCTCTTAACTATTGTGTAGAACGAAGGAGTGGCAAATAGTTCAGATGTTTCAAAGCAGTAGATCTGCTCTACGCTTTGCTAAACACAGTCAGGCTTATTTCCAACTCAATGAAATATTAGATTTGCTGTCAAGGTGGTAGAACGCATAGAAAAATAATGGTGTTTATATTCCAGTTTTTTTAAAAAAACCTTGATGGTATCAGCAGAGATACCATTCTGAGTTGTTAGGCGATTCTATCAGTGAGATGTTGCAATAGGTACTGACAGATAGCCAGCAAGTTAACTAAAAGCAGAATAGAACAAAACAGAAAATAACACAACGGAACAGAATATGGAATATGGAATATGGAATATGGAATGGAATGGGACAAAGAATATAATATAATACAATATAGAGCGTAGAATATAGAATAGAATAGGACGAAGAATGGAATAGAATAGAATAAGGAATAGACTAAAATAGAATATAACAGAACAGAATAGAATAGAAAATGAACAGACTAGAGTAGAATAGAGTAGAATAGAATAGAATAGAATAGAATAGAATAGAATAGAATAGAAGACTTTGTTTGGCCAAGTGTGATAGGTCATACAAAGAATTTGTCTCTGGTGCAGAAGCTCGCACTGTACATGCAAGTAACTAAGCAATAAAATCTTAAGATACCAATATGAGAAGGCACTGTAAAATATGAGAAGGATAATATAATACAGTCACACTACAGTACATGGGTAAATATACTTAGACATAAGACAGCGCTGTGAAAATTAGATGTTCAGCAGAGTGGTAGCATGGAGGGAGAAAACTGTCCTTGTGTCTGGTTGTTTTGGCGTGCAATGTTTTATAGTGGCATCCCGAGGGGAGAAGTTGAAACAGTTTATGTCCAGGATGTGACGGACCTGTAGATAGTTTCTCAGCCCACTTTCTGACCTGACAAAAAGGCAGATTTATCTCTGTGTGGACTGAAACCCTGGGAGAAATGATCTCTCCCACCACTACCACTGGAGTCCTTCTGTTTTCTAGCAACTTAATCACAGAGTGAAGTAAAACCATTTCACTGATCGAGCAGGACTGCAAATTGGATTCTTGCTGGTCTTCAAGGAGCATTTACCCGGGGGGGGGTGTTCAAAAATCCCAGCAACCGGTTTGCTGCCCGGTTGCTGGGTAGGTGTGGCCATGGTGGGTGTGGCCTACTGTAACTTCCGAGAGGGCTATTTTTCACCTTCCCCAGAGTCTGGAGGCTTCCCTCAGGCCTCTGGGAGGGTGAAAATGTCCTCCGTCGGCTCTGGAGGCCCTCCGGAAGCTGGAAATGGACCCGTTTCTGGACTTCTGGAAGGCCCATTTTTCACCCTCCCAGAGCCTCCGTGCAGACCCTGCACTTACCTGCGTCCAAACTGTGCTGCGGGGAGACTCCTGGGAGGGGAGGGGTGGGCAGGGCCAGATGATAGGTTCAACTACCGGTTCGGCAAAGCAGATGTAAATTTAACATCCGGTCCGCTTGAACCAGCCCAAACCAGCTGAATCCCACCCCTGCATTTACCTCATAGTACGTTATTTTTCCTTGGCAGGCAAACAGGGATAGGGGATAAGGGGATGCTTTTCCAGTGACTGCTCTTCTTCCCAGAACTCCTTGAAGGATCTGTACATCTTCACACGGTCGATGTGATTCCTTGACGACAAGGGAAATCCCAGTGAAGACGAGGAACATCCAGAGAAGGGCATTCAAGGAGAAGGCTGTCAGAACTTGTTTCCCTGACAGCACAGGAAAGGCCAGGTAGATGCTGAAGGCCATCACGGGGCTGGTTAAGGCATCCATCCAGTTGTGGAGAAGAGACGCTTTCCAAACACTGCAGGTCAGACTTGTGGAAAGATAAAACAGGTTCAAGATTAGGCAAAAAACCCATAAAGACCTCAACAACCAGGCACTGAACCTTTGATGAGTCATGCATTGACTGACTTGCAAAATTGTAGTCATCTTCAAAACAAAGCAGGCACTCACATTTCACTTCAGAGAAGGTGATTAGATACTTTAGATAAGTAACCTGTTTTCTTCAGTGGTTGACAGTCTCTGTCTCTGTCTCTCTCTGTCTCTCTCTCTCTCTCTCTTTCTCCTTCCCCTTTCCACCCTCCATCTCTCTTTCTCAAGGCACTTCCATCAGATGAAATCTTATACTCGTTCTCCTAAGGGGAGGGGGAGAGATTTAACTGCCAGCTACACAGCAAGTCCATGTCTATGATTCAGTGACCTCAATGTAACAGAATAATAGTTGGAAGAGACCCTGGAGGTCTTCTAGTCCAACCAAGGGTCCAAGTACGTTGGATGTTTCCAATAATTTAAAAAAAGACTAGAGCTGAGCTTGATTTCTCTCTCTTTATTTTATAAATAAATAAAGTTTTTTTTAATATATCTTTACTTTCTTCCTCTGTTGCTGATTCTCAGTTGGCAAAACACCAGTAAGATCCTGAATCTTGTTCAGATGGCTCACCTGTTCCTTTGTTTTTCGGTGCAACCTAGGACACAAGTCCTTGTGTTCTCGTTGCTGGGTTACTCGAAGAGACATCTGCTTGGCTGCTTCTCGGGTTACAAGGCTCTACAAAGCCAACTTATTTCTGGGAGGAAACAGGTTACTTGTTATGAGGCGAGATTACAACATGTTTGGGGGCTGGGTAACGTTTCGGCTCCAAGTCGTTGTGAATGACAGTTTTTGGGAGGGGCCGTTCTGCTCCTCATATTTCTTGGAAGCAGTAGAGAGACCTGTTGATGAAACCCAGATCTTCATGTAGATTTTTTTATTTATTTACTTATTTTGTCAAGCATGCATTTGATAACATATATAAGTATAAATATGATTATTAATACATGAAATAGATACGAATAAAAAGGGAAACATTAGGACAGAGATGGTAGGCACATTGGTGCGCTTATGCACGCCCCTTACAGACCTCTTAGGAATGGGGTGAGGTCAACAGTAAACAATCTGAGGTTAAAGTGTTTGGGGTTTTGGGAAGAAACCACAGAGTCAGGTAGTGCATTCCAGGCATTGACCGCTCTGTGGCTGAAGTCGTATTTCCTGCAATTGGGTTTAGTGCAGTTGACCTTGAGTTGTATCTATTGTGTGCTCGTGTATTGTTGTGGTTGAAGCTGAAGTAGTCATTGATGGGTAGGACATTGTAGTGGATAATTTTATGTACTATGCTTAGATCACACTGAAGGCAGTGTAGTTCTAGGTTGTCTAAACCTAAAATTTCAAGCCTGGTAGTGTAGCATATTCTGTTGTGAGTAGAGGAGTGGAGGACTCCTCTCGTGAAATATTTCTGGACTCTCTACAATCTTTAAACATTTTATCTTCGGACATTGAATATGTCCAAAGATAAATTGCTAACTAGAGCATTCAAAACCTTTGCTAGACCAATACTTGAATACAGCTAATCTGTCTGGAATCCGCACTGTATATCGGATATTAACACAATTGAGTTAGTCCAGAAGTATTTCCCTAGAAGAGTTCTACACTCCTCTGCTTGCAACAGAATACCCTACATCACCAGGCTTGAGATTTTGGGCTTGGACAATCTTGAACTAAGCCGCCTATGGTTGGACTTAAGCGTAGCACACAAAATTATCTGCTACAATGTCCTACCAGTCAACGACTACTTCAGCTTCAGTCGCAACAATACAAGAGCACACAACAGATACAAACTCAATGTAAACTGCTCCAAACTTGATTGCAGAAAGTATGACTTCAGCAACAGGGTGGTCAATGCCTGGAATGTACCCCCTGACTCTGTTGTTACATCCTCTAACCCCCCACTCCTTTAACCTTATTAAACTATCCACTATTGACCTCACCCCCTTCCTAAGAGGTCTGTAAGGGGCGTGCATGTGCACCATCGTGCCTACCACGTCTGTCCTACTATCCCCGTTTATTTGTACCTATTTTCTGTATTCTTACTCATGTTTATACTTATACCTATTATCTTGAAAGTAATTGACAAATCAAATCAAATCAAATAAAGGTCTGAGGATAAAATCTTTTAAAAACACCCAAAATAAAGCGAAGTAAGTTTAGGTGTTTAGTAACTTTAGAGTGTTCTCTTATTTGTTGGCTTTTGAGAGCTGATTTATATAGGTGTAATCCTTGACTTACAACCACAGTGGAGCCCACCATTTCTGTCAGACAATTGCTAGGTGAGTTTTGCTCCATTTTACGACCTTTGGTTGTTAAGTGAATTGCTGCATTTTCTCCTTTCTCCTTTTTAACCATATAGATCATAGGCTTGTAAGAAATAGACAATGAAGAATAAATGGAAGAATTCAGATACAGGTAGTCCTCGACTTAAGACCGCCATGGAGCCCAACGTTTCTGTTGTTCAGCGAGGCAGTTGTGAAGTGAATTTCGCCTCCCGTTTTACGGCCTTTCTTGCCACTGATTGTTAAGTGAACCCCTGCAGGCGTTCAGTTGAGCAACACGGTTGTTAAGTGAATCTGGCTTATCCATGGACTTTGCTTGTCCAAAGATCGCTGTCATAAATGTGAGTCCTTTGCCGAATTTTGATCACATCTCTGTGAGGAATCCTGCAATGGTCATATGTGTGGAAAACATTCATCCATCGCTTTTTGTCACAACCTTTGTAACTTCCAACGGTCATTAAATAAACTGTTATAAGTCAAGGATGCACTGTAGGAACCAGCTGGTCCCATCGCCTAAAATATTGGCTTTTTTTCATATCAGGCAGGACTTTCTTTCACACCCCAAAGAAAATGTCTGCTATCAAGAGCTTTCATTGGTACCAAGACTGTTGATTGACAGATGTGAAAAGAAATAGAATTTCCGCTGTTTGTCCTAAATGGACTCTAGAGAGGTTATCCTGGCCAAAACTCCCTGCTTGATCCAGAAGACAGGAAGTGATTTTGCAAAAGCCTTTCTGTGCATTGGATAGAGTTCCTGTTGATTGTGTTTTTATAGCTTTCCCCAAGGCATTTTCCAGCATTATAAAATAACGCCGGGGATATTTTTATATCAGAGTGGTCAAGGACTTTCTTGCTTGTGGGCTTTAAAATTGAGCAACTTTCCTTTCACCAGCTTCTATAACATTGTTGTATCCTCTGAGCATTGTCTTTTTTGTTTTTCTTTTCCCACTCCAAAATGTTCTACAAGAATGTTGTTTCTTTTTGATAGGAGCATTCCAATTTTATTTTTAAAAAAATTTGTAACTTTCAGAGAGAGAGAGACAGAGAGAGACAGGGAGAGAGAGGGGGAATGAGGACGCTAGAAAATATTGGACTAAAATTCGCATATGGTTGGAAAAAATGACAAAGACACATATAGACTTGAAACCAGAGATTTTTTTATTGGGAATCTTACCTGATATATATAATAAAAATTTGAAGTATTTGATCGTAAATATATTAACAGCGGCTAGGATTGTATTTGCTAAGAACTGGAAGAGTGAGAAAACTCCATCAGAGGAAGAAACTGTTAAGAAAATATTGGATTGTGCTGAAATGAGTAAATTGACATTTGAAATCAGAGAACAAGAAGATAAACAATTTTATGAAGTTTGGGATCTTTTTTATCAATGGTTAGATAATAAAACATAATAGAATATTCAGATTTAGCATAAAAATTTTTTTTCTTGATATTATCTTTATAAAACATTATCAAGATAGATTTGGTATGATCTTATGATTTATTGCAAAATAAATTAAGTAAACTATAGTTATCTCGTTAAAATATGAATTAACAAAATTATAGATAAATGATTTTTTTTAGTGATGATATTAGGTTATACAATTATTGATTGATAATATGAGCTATTATCTAATATAATTATATTAGTGACTAGGAAATGGATGCACACAAAAAAGTGGTAAACCAATCGATCCACTGTATGTAAATTCATGAGGAAGGAGGATATTTTTATGTTTTTTGTGGTATGTTTATGTTGTCTTGTTGTTAAAATAATTTTTTTTTTATAAAAATAAAAAAAAGACATGACATAATAAACTACAAAAAAAAATTGTAACTTTCAGAGAGAGAGAGAGAGAGAGAGAGACAGAGACAGAGACAGAGACAGAAAGACACACACACACATACACAGACAGGGAGAGAGAGAGGGAATGAGAGAGACAGAGAGAGACAGAGAGACAGAGAGATAGAGGGAGAGAGAGGGGGAATGAGAGAGAGAGGGAGGAGAGAGAGAGGAGAGAGACAGGGACAGATAGACAGAGAGAGAGCGGGAATGAGAGAGACAGAGACAGAGAGACAGAGAGAGACAGGGAGAGAGAGGGGGAATGAGAGAGACAGAGAGACAGGGAGAGACAGGGAGAGAGAGGGGGAATGAGAGACAGAGACAGAGAGAGACAGGGAGAGAGAGAGGGAATGAGAGAGACAGAGACAGAGAGACAGAGAGACAGAGAGAGACAGGGAGGAGAGACAGGGAAAGAGAGGAGAGAGACAGGGACAGAGAGACAGAGAGAGACAGGGAGAGAGAATGAGACAGACAGAGACAGAGAGAGACAGAGAGACACAGGGTGAGAGAGTGGGAATGAGAGAGAGAGAATGAGGGGATATGCTAAGAAAAGAACCAAGATTGCATCTGGAATGTAGAATTACCTCTTGAAGCCAGCCAGGGTGTGGAGAATTGGTTTCTTTGGCTTGTGTGAACTAGTTCCATCCAGTCTTTGTACTGTTGCATTGCCTCAAAGGCAAACAAACACTTAACAGGGGGAGTCAAAAATCAGGGCTTAACACCTCCCTGCAGATGGTGCTTAGCTTTGGAACGCTTGCTAAA